TTGTCTCTACTTATAACTTTTCTATTCATGTATTTATTGATTCAGAATCTTTATATTAAATAAAATAACTATTCTATACCATTACAAAATTATCAGTGCCATATTATTTCTAAGTGAAACTTTGATATAAAATCCATTGATTAAATAAAATACAAGTTTTCACTCAAGGTAACCTTCAAAAAAGAATTTAAATTTATAACAAAGTTATAACCTTTGGAAAGTTGATGGATCAATTTGACTCTGATAAAAGATTTCACCAAATGAGGGAGAAAAAAATAGGAAACCTTTGATCAAGGAGGAAATTATTCAAGAATTACTCGGGTCGTATTTGTCTCTACTTATAACTTTTCTATTCATATATTTATTGATTCAGAATTTTTATATTAAGTAATATATAACTATTCTATACCATATTATTTTTTTAATCACAAAATTGTCAGTACCATATTATTTCTAAGTGTAACCTTGATATAAAATCCATTCATTAAATAAAATACAAGTTTTCACTCAAGGCAACCTTCAAAAAAAATTTAATTTAATGGTCAATATTTTCTTAGGCCCAAAGCTTTAGTGTGAAAGCAAACTTCCATGGCCATCAATGGTGATCCCCACACGGTGACTGGACTTGTCAAAGATGGTGACATGTGAGCCAATTGGTTTATGTTTCTATGGGCCTTCCATAGAAAAAATTATTGTATACGTCTCACTATCTTGTTATATCTTTCATCAATTATAAATAATTATTTTTTTATGTCATAAATATAATATATTTTTACTATCCAAAGCAATCTTAAAAAATGAACATATTATTGTAACAATAGTTTTATTTGCTACTGCTTCTTGCAATCTAAAGATAAATAATCATATAAGTCAAAAGCACAGTTCACTCATTTTTTAATAATCATATTTTTTTATTTATTTAAATTATTTTTATCTCAAAAACTCTGAACATAAATTGTGTTAATTATGACATGGACTTTCAACATATAAAATACATAAACTTCACCAAACATGAACCAAGGCCTTCCACCAAGCAGTTATCCTTTTGTATATTTATTTATTTATTATTATTATGATTCAAAGTAACTGTCACCCAGCTTAACTTTAGGGCAATTGGTTCCTAATTCGTTTTTGTGGAGCATTTGAAATTAATTATTGAATAAATTTTCAATGACTTTTTAAATGACTTAAATTTTAGGAAAAATTAGTCTAAAGTCCATTTCCTAATTTTAGTAATGAAAGACATCCACAATATTATTTTTTTATGTCTAAGGTCTCTCCCATCTATCACAGAGAAATTTAGCCCCCTTCCTTTTGTCTACTCTCACTCATCACCACGATCAAACACGTACACACAAAGAGTTCACTACACACAGACATGTACATACATAGATACATACAGACAGAGAAACCCAGAGCTTTCTAGAGAGAGAAAATGAAGTTGATCGGAAAAATAGTCTTTTCTCTCCTACTCATCCACTCTCAAACTTACCGGTGATTACTTCCGGCGACTAACAATCGTCGTGTTTAGTCCCTGGTTCGTGTTCGTGATCGGAAACGCAATCATCATCACTCTGTTTCTGAAATACAGTACCAGAAATAGCAAAACGAGTTTCAATTTCTGCGAAGAGTATGTTGAGAATAGTTTGAAGAATCAGATTGATCATGGAGTCGAGATCGAGTATCGGAGGAGAGAGAGTCAGTGTGAGAATTTGAAGAGAGAAAGTGGTGGTGAAGAACGATACGGCGGAGTAAGACGGAGGAGTGCGACGGCGGTGAGTAGATGTGCGGAGAAGATGAGCGGAGAGAAGTTCCGGAGGACGGTAGAGGATTTTATTGCGAGGCAGTAGAGATACCTGAGAGAAGAAGAGTTTTCAGCCATTGTTAGATACTGAAGAAGCTCAAGAAATCCTCTGTTTTTTTTAAAAAAAAATTATGTTTCTCTTCTTTGTTTGGAATATGGTGTTTTTCTCTGGTTTGGAGTCTAGAGAAATTCTAGAAATTTCTCTGGGAGAAAACTAAAGAAATTTGCAAACCAAAGAAATTTGAAGAGAATTTCTACGTGGGAAGTCTAGAGAAATTCTATGATTTTGATTGAATTTCTTTAGTTTGGACCAGAGAAATTCTCAAAGTTTGATTGAATTTTCTCTGATTTGAACCTGAGAAATTCTCTGAGAAATTTTCTAATTTAGATTGAATTTTCTATGATTTTGATTGAATTTCTCTGGTTTGGACCAGAGAAATTCTCAGAGTTGGATTGAATTTTCTCTTATTTGAACCTGAGAAAATCTCTGATTTAGATTGAATTTTCTATGATTTTGATTGAATTTCTCTGGTTTGAACCAGAGAAATTCTTTGAGTTGGATTGAGTTGGATTAAGTTTTTTCTGGATTGAATTTTCTTTGGTTTTTTTTTTTTATGTTAGTCCATGAATCCAGAGAAATTTGAATGTTCAAAGTCTTGAACCCAGAGAAAATCTTTGGAAGTCCAGAATTTCTCTGAATAGAATTTCTCTGGACTGTAATTTATCCGGGTTGAAATTTCTCTGGGCTGAAATTTCTCTGGATCAATGTTGAGGGACCTTAGACATTATGAAAATATTAAATGTCATTTATGCTATAAAATCATAATATCAGGGATCTTAAAAAAAAATTCTTAAATTTCAAGTTTTAAATTTTAAATATTATTTTTTAATTTTTATTACACAGCCAATTCCTTAATATTTACTGTGTGAAAAAAAAAAATAAAAAAAAATAATGCTTGTTTCAATAGATCGTGGAACACGGCTCAATTGACAATGAAGGCACACAATTGAGGGTTCATTACCGACAACGTGTGACGTGTGTGACTTTTTGTTTTGTTCCATGCTCACACTTGTCTCATTTAAGGCATTTCAATTCACATTTCGCACATGTAGTAATAAATTAAAAGAGTTATTATATCTTGCTTTAGCTTTTGCTGAGAAGTAATTTTTTTAGTTTAAAAGTCAAAAAAAAATTATTAAAAAAATTAAAAAGTCAATAATTTATATTAAAAAGTTAAAAATTTTATTTTTTTTGTATTTTTTGTATATTTTTTTTATAAAAAATTAAAAAGTCATCACAAATATACTAGTTTCTTTTATATTATATTTTAACTAAAAAGTCAAAAAATTACTAAAAAATCATATTGCCAAACTAGGCCTTAATTTGAGATTATGTGTTAAATTATTTGGTACAATTTTTATATAAGGTTTATTAGGTAGACATAGTTTAAATAAATTAAAAAATAAATAAATAAAAACTGATTATTGAAGTTGAAGAATGAGTGTTTTTAGCTTAAAAAAAAACTCTACCAAAACAGGCCACTATGCTCCGTTTGGGAAGGGCTAGATTGAGCTTTTTTGGCTATTTTAATCACAAAAGACAAAATAGGCTATTTTAACCACAAAAAATAAAATATCACATCTAATCCATAATCATTACACTCTTCTCTCACAAAAAAAGTCAAAAAAACTAAAAATTCAAAAAGCCCTTCCCAAACCAAGCTTTTTAGCCCAGGCTAAAATAGTCAAAAAAATCAAAAAGTCAAAAAAGGCAACCCACTTCCCAAATCACCCCTATATGGTTTTTTTAAATTGTGTCTGCCATAGTGCAGACATGTTTGGTTTATGAATATGAATAGAAATTTGAAAAGAAAAATAAAAAAGATAAGTGAAATATAGTTATATTTAACATATTTTTTACATTTATTTTTTCTAAATTTTTACCCAAATTCATTAATCAAATATAATCTTACTGTAATTTTATTATTGTTTTAAATGTTTGAAAACTGTTAATGACAGTTTAATGGATAGTCATTAGCCTTTATATATGTGTAAAAAAATGTATAAAAATATATACCACACTTTTATAAGTTCTAAAACTCTTTTTAATCTTTTCACCAATTTTTAATTTTAATTTTTTTCTTCACGTCAATCTTATTGATAAACAATATCCCAACTCTCATTAACAATTGTCTTATTAGAAATTTTAATAGATTTTCTCTACTTCTTTAAATTATATTTGAATCATGAATTTAGATAGAAATTTAGAAAGAAAAATGAAAAATATAGATCAAATATGAATGAAATGTTGATACAATTCACTCACAATTTTATTTTTTCTTTGTAAGGCCAAGTTTGGCATCCTCCAAAAAATTCAAAAAGTCACAATCCTATTTAAGTCACATTATCTTATTTAAGTCACATCACCTTTCTAACACATCACTTCAAACTCAACCCAAATCCAACCCATATTTCATAAAAAATAAAAAAAATGCACTTATTTATGGTGTGTTTGGTTGAGGGATTTGGGGAGGGATTTGGAAAGGGAAATGGAAAAGGTGTGTGAAACTATGTGAAATATAGGCATGATTTATTCACATTTTACCTACCTTTTCCATTTCCCTTTCCAAATCCCTCTCCAAATCCCCCAACCAAACACAGCATTAGTCTTTCCAAACTTGACCTAAATCCTTATCAAAATTATAATCCAAATACAGCCTAAAAGTATCAAAAGATTTATCTATTTTTTATGAAAAGTCCAATGCAAAACTATAAAAGAAGGGAATGGAATAGAAGAACGATAAACATGAATAATGATGGATTTTGTTAATAAATATCTTTTAAGTACAAATTGAGAGGATTTAGAATGTGTCTAAGAATACATGTTAATATTGCATAATTATATATATATTTTCATCTAAACATCATATATATTATAGTTCTGATAATTTTATTTTTATTAAAAATAAAATCATTATAATTATGTAAAATTTATGAGATTAAAAAAAAAAAAAAAAGAAGGTTTGGAAATGGCATTTCCCTTGCTGTGAAGCTGAAGAAATTCTCTCTCTCTCTCACACTAAAAGGCAACCACAAGCTCACTTCCATGGAGTTAGGAACGTGGAACACACTCATAAATTCTCTTTCATTGAGTCATCTCTCTGTCTTCTCCAATAATAATCTGTCATAAACCCCTCAACGTCTCTCTCTCTCTCTCATCATTTTGGATTTTGAGCAGCTTTCCCTTTAATTTTCCTTCTTTCATCAGTCACTTTATAAGTTTTTTCACTCACTAAAACTTCAGTCCTCTGCCGCTAAATTTGCTTCTTCCCCCACCCCACAAACTATGCCCACAATGAGCTCATCTCTTTGCTTATTGGGTCCTTGTTGGTTTAATATTCTCATCTATCTGTGCTCATTTCTTTGATTTTTTGCTGTTTGGGTTGTGGGATTTGGAATTTTCTTCATGGCTTTCCTCAGAAATTGAAGTTTGGACAGATTTGAGATGTTGGAGATATGATAACAATTCAACCTGGTAATTGGGTCAAAGTGTCGAAGAAAGATAGTTATCTTGCTTAGTATTTTCATAATTTTTGTATTATAATGGAGTCTTGGAGCTATGTTTCTCAAGGAAAGGGTTTTGTGTCCGACGATTCTATTTCTGCTCCTGATGTGTTTGGGAGAGGGAAAAATGGGTTGATGGGTTGGGAATTGAAAACCCCATGTAATTATGACAGCAATTTGGTAGAGAATCAAGGGTTTGTAGAGTTGGGTTTCCCGGAAATGCCAAGAAAATCTTGGCCAGAAAATAACTTGAATGAAAGAATTTGTACCCCAATTACATCCATGACAAATGCATTTTCTGGGGAAGATGAGTCTAGTTCAAAGTTTTCTAGCTCTGTGGTTGAATCAAACAGTCGTGATTCATCCTTCATTGATTTGAAGCTGGGGAGGATTGCTGATGATTTTAGATCCTCCCAAACGGCCCCAGTGTTGTCCTCCTCAGAGTCATTGTTGCCGACGAAGAGGGTCCGAGCCGGTTTGAGTTCTCAGACCCCCTTTTGCCAAGTTTATGGTTGTAAGAAAGATCTGAGCTCATCCAAGGATTACCACAAGAGGCACAAAGTCTGTGAGGTTCACGCAAAGACTGCCAAAGTCATTGTCAATGGCAATGAACAAAGGTTTTGTCAGCAATGTAGCAGGTTGGATTAGTTTTTTTTGTTCCATTTTGTAACTAACCTTGCAATTCAGTTAGTTTCAGCTATGCAATTGGGGAAATTAAAATAAAATAAAATAAAAAAATGATTCTTACAATAGCTAATTCCGTTTCTGTTCCACGTTTTCTTGGCTTTTGAAACTGTAAATAGGGCTAGTTTGTTTAGTACATATTGGATTTTCTTTATCTGCCTATCTCACCTTAGTTGGTGGCAAATGCTAACGAGTGCTCTGACACATTTCTCGATATTGGGATCGGAGTGAAAGTGCTTTGCAAATAGGTGAAAAAGGTTAAAAGAGTTCTGAAATCAGTGAAAAGTATCTCTTGTTGTTCAAATTTTGTGTCTTTTTATTGTGGTCTAGGACACTTGTTAACAACAAGACGCGTAGTTGTTTTATGTTTGTTAAGTCTTGCTTTTCCTATATTTGGCAATAGTTAGTTGATTTTAAGCTCTATTAATTTCTGTTCTGGAAAAGCTAATTATATGCCTTAAATAAACCAGATCTGTGGCTTCTGGAAGATTTACCTCTACCTTTGAAATACAATCCAGCATGTTCCTTTGGTCTCAAGTTTGATCAGTAAGAACAGACATGTTTTGCGTTGCTGATATTATATATACTGGCTTTTGATTCTGCAGGTTTCATTCGCTGGCTGAATTTGACGATGGTAAACGCAGTTGTCGTAAACGTCTTGCAGGCCACAACGAACGTCGAAGGAAACCTCATGTGGGAACTCACTCTGGTAGAAGTGGGAGGTTTTTTCAGTCATATAATGGTATTTAATGTACCTTCTCTTCTAATTTGGAGTACTTCCTAAACAAGTTCTTGGATTAAAAAACTTGTCATCAATTACTTCTTTCTACTTCAGTTTTTATTTTGTTATGCTAACATAATTTCATTTTTTTTTTCGTCAGCAACATAATTTCATTGTTTATCAAATAAGCATTTTAGAATATGATCATTAACGTGGCTAAAATTAGGTATGGGGACCGTTACCTTCTTATCAAATTACGGGGAAAAAAGTAATCTAATTTTAGTGAATTGATAGACTAGAAGTTCGATGTGAGGGAGAGAAGCCTTTTGTTCTGATATTATACCTCTCTCTCTCTCTCTCTGTGATGAGGAACTTCCCCAAGGCAAGGCCACATTGGACTCATCCCTACGGGTAAACCCCAAATACCTGCAATCACCTGCAAACCACAGATATCAGTTAAGACCAGGAGACACTAGCAAGAATCCTTGAGTCCAACTCCTTTGCGGTTTCTCTCCCTTTGCTTTCTTTCTCTAGTTAATTAAAACCTGGAGAATCAAATTCTTGGATTAAACATGTCGTCTCTAACTGCTTTCTTCTCCAGTTTTATGTTGTTATGCTAACATAATTTCATTGTTCATCAAATAAATTTTTTGGAATATAATTATTAACCCAAAAACTTTCTGGGGACCATTACCTTTTATTCAAATTTTTGTTGAAAAAAGTAATCTAGCTTTACTGAATTGATTAACTAGAAGTTGAGACTCGGGGGAGAGAAGTGTTTTCCTAATATACCTCTATATCCTAAGGACCTTCCTATTTGTTCTGAAAATTATATTTTTTGTTTTCTGTTTTCTTTAAATTATGCAGGTAGTATGATAACACCATCATCTTTTATTTGCCAAGATATACTCCCTAGCAACATTCTGCATCCACAGAAATATGACACAAATGACTGGAATGGGCGTATAAAACTTGAAAATGGAGCCAATTATTCTCCTCCATCGGCAATTCCCATCACAAATGGACATCTGCATCCAAAATCCCTGTTCCCTCATGGTTTTGAAAAACATTGTCCTTTTCTTGCAAACGGAGTTAATTCAGCAACAGGAAGAGACTTCAATGAGAACAGTAACCGATACACACATTATCTAGGGTCCTCAAATTCTGTCTCGGGTTCTTTGATCCACAACACCTCAATAGGAAGTGAAGATTTCGCCCTTTTCAACTCAGGATCAACTGTTCAAGGGATAGGGATGTCAGGCTGTGGTCGTGCTCTCTCTCTTCTGTCATCTCAATCACAGAATTCTTCAAGCCATTCATCGGGAATTCCTATGGCTCAGATTGTATCAGGCAGCCATGCTAATTACAATGTCGGTCAAATCTCCGGAAAGATCTTGGGAGTGAGCTCACAGGCTTCAATAAATGGAGTGACAGCTAATAAGTTTAATTCTGTAGAAGAGAATCACTTTAATCCCATACTAATTTCTGATGATGGTGATGCTGTTAACTTCACCGATGGAATGTTCCAAGGGTCACAATACATAAACGACAAGGACCGTCTTTCTTGTGAAGATGGATCTACTATTGATCTGCTTAAACTGTCATCACAGCTTCAGCGAGTGGAGCATCAAAGGCAATTCATGCATGTGAAGCGGGAAAGTGATGCTTTTTGAGGCCTCAATATCACTCGAGTGGTCCACAAATATGGCATATGAATGTGTTGTTGTAGGATTTCATTTCCATAAATAATGTATTTCTGAACTGCCATGGAAACAGCCAAAACACCTATTCTTGGTAAATTTTTAAGTGTGAGTGCTTTGTTGTCTCCTGATATTACATGCTTAAACTTGAACAGAAACGTGGGGTTTTGGGGCCTGAAAATGTTGACTCATTGGCATTTACTCTTGCCGCTTTATGACGATGTTGAAGCCTGTTACATGAACTCTTCAAATTCAATAAACTATTGTGGGACTGGCAAACATGGTTTTCTGTTGGACAATACAAGCACGAGTACGGATGTAGAATATTGTTGGAGATTTATCCATTAATGGGTCATAACAATGGAAGAGAGGAACATGTTCCCAATTCACTTATAGTTCCTAGGAAATATGCATAGTTTAACCCTCTATTTTGTGAATATTTTGAAGAAAAAAAAATCCCAGTTCTAACAACTTACCTTGGAGATGGGTTTGGTCGCCAAAATTCTCCATCAAAAGTTTTTTATTTTTTTGTTTTTGGGGGTGTGTTTTGGACAGCTACTCAATGAGAAGATGCGTACAATTGACAACTTCATTAGAAGACACCATATTTTTTATAATTGGTGTTGGTAGTAAGCAAGATGGGAAATTCATTGATCTTCTTATTCATTGCTATGCAGCTAGAGAGCTTTGGGGATTGATTTTATAGTTGTTTGGGATGCAAATTGCAATGGTTCTTCCTCAAGAGTTTTGTGGATGTCATGCATAGTCGGAGAGGGGGTAGAGTTGGGAAGAGAAGGTAACAAAAGGCTTGTTGGCGGCCTCCTTATGTGTGATGTGGATTAATTGGGGAGAACCGAACTGAAGTTCCTTTGAAGATATGGAGGAACCTCTTTCCCAAGGAGCTAATGCAACCAAGGAGCAATTTTTGGCATTTGTATAGACTTTTAGTTAAACAGATGCAGAGGAGTCTGTTTTTGTTTTTTTGCCTGTTTTTTCGGCTGAACATGGGTGGCACCCCCCTTGAAGCCTTTCTAAGATACTTCTACCTACCTATAACATATATATATATATAATATTTTTGGGATGGCCATTGGTTGCCACCGCTACCAAGTCCATGTAATTTATCAAAAACGTTTTTTTTCTTTGAACTCAATCTAAAGGGACGGTATTTAACAAATCCTAATGCTTCCTTTGCTTCAGAATCACTAACAATGTTAAACCCACTAAACCTAACCCACTACTACCTACCACACACACTCACCTCTTCACCTAACCTACCACTACCACCTCCACTTCATCCCCTACCACTTCACCTACTACCTTCTTCTCTTCTATATATTTGATCATTGTAAACATAACAAAATATCAATATATACAACAATCTTGTAACACATCAATACATAATTTATTCTCTCTATTTCTCAATACATCAAATCTTACATGGTATCAGAGCAAGGTTGAGAAGCTAGTAATTCTGCTTTACCGGCGGGCGGCAGCCTCGCCTTGGCCGCCCGCTGGACCTCTACACATATCTTCATTCCGCTGCCACATTTCTTGCTGCCGTGAACCATGGTGTAACATAAGCTCCCTTGGTCAAACTTTGTTGAGTTTCTCTGGTACACAAGATACTCCACGACTCCAAGCAGCAACCGTTCCATGCTCGGCAGAAGAGACTGCAAGCAAAAATTACTTTGCGCTTCTGCCCTTCCGTCCCACGGTTGAAATAACAAACTACAATAATCAACCAAATTGACGAGTGTATCGCACTCACAGTTCATTGTCCGGTGTTTGTTACTGCCTAATCCGCTGGCGTGGCCTCCAAGAGTCTGAACCCCCATCTGAAGAGTCATGATCGTCTTCTCTAGAAACAGATACGGTTTCCCCATCATGGGTCTCCTCTCCCCAACGTCTTGTTGATCTCCGTTTGTGCAGTGAATTCACACAGCAGCACCTCTCGGCAAACACTGATACACTCAACGCCCTCACAAAACAGACATAGGCACCTGGGCTCTGTCTTCTCCGTGGTACATGAAAACAAACAAGGTTGCATGTTTGGGTTTTGAGAGAGAAGCACTCAACACAGCACAGCAGATCCATACACACACAGATGCATCCACACACACCCAACACATTGACACACACATTAGCACACACGGGCATACACACTGGTTTTGAGAGGGAAGACAACACTCACACACAGACAGCACAGCGACAGATATGCACATGGCCTCTTCTCTCTCTCTCTCTCTCTCTCGACATCACCAACCTATTTTACTTTTCTTCTCTTATTTATTTATTTTTTTCTTTCTTTTACTTCCTTTACCACCACTCACCCAACAAACCATGTGCTGAGCTAAGTAGACATGAGCTGTCCATCTTTTTATATCCACCACATGAACAACCGAATCACATAATTTCCCACCACCCCACGCCAGCACTCACTTCTCTCTTTTATTTCTTTATTTTAAACCCTTTTCCACGGACACTTTTTCACCACCCCACACCAGCACTCACTTCTCTCTTTTATTTATTTATTTTAAACCCTTTTCCACGGACACTTTTTCACCACCCCACACCAGCACTCACTTCTCTCTTTTATTTATTTATTTTAAACCCTTTTCCACGGACACTTTTTCACCACCCCACACCAGCACTCACTTCTCTCTTTTATTTATTTATTTTAAACCCTTTTCCACGGACACTTTTTCACCACCCCACACCAGCACTCACTTCTCTCTTTTATTTATTTATTTTAAACCCTTTTCCACGGACACTTTTTCACCACCCCACACCAGCACTCACTTCTCTCTTTTATTTATTTATTTTAAACCCTTTTCCACGGACACTTTTTCACCACCCCACACCAGCACTCACTTCTCTCTTTTATTTATTTATTTTAAACCCTTTTCCACGGACACTTTTTCACCACCCCACACCAGCACTCACTTCTCTCTTTTATTTATTTATTTTAAACCCTTTTCCACGGACACTTTTTCACCACCCCACACCAGCACTCACTTCTCTCTTTTATTTATTTATTTTAAACCCTTTTCCACGGACACTTTTTCACCACCCCACACCAGCACTCACTTCTCTCTTTTATTTATTTATTTTAAACCCTTTTCCACGGACACTTTTTCACCACCCCACACCAGCACTCACTTCTCTCTTTTATTTATTTATTTTAAACCCTTTTCCACGGACACTTTTTCACCACCCCACACCAGCACTCACTTCTCTCTTTTATTTATTTATTTTAAACCCTTTTCCACGGACACTTTTTCACCACCCCACACCAGCACTCACTTCTCTCTTTTATTTATTTATTTTAAACCCTTTTCCACGGACACTTTTTCACCACCCCACACCAGCACTCACTTCTCTCTTTTATTTATTTCTTTTAAACACTTTTCTACGGGCAGTGCGCCAGCCCTTTTCAAATAATTTTCCATTACATTTTTTATTTTAAAAAAAAAAAACAAGACATACAATTTTGCACAACCGTCCATATTTTATTCATCTCAGGGATCAACCCCGCTCACAATTTTACAAAAAAAAAAAAAAAAAACAAACAAACAAACAAAACACAATTCAAATTATTCAAATGCTGAGGAATGCAGCTTGGATTTAGCTTTCATCTTTTGCCAAAAACTAATGCCAAACAACCATTTCTTGCTACATTTTTAATACAATTTTAGATCTACATTTTAGATTTTAATTAAAAAGAATGTATTAAAAATAATTTTTAATGGTAAATATGAATAAAGATAGAATAAAGAAGTAAACTGTGATAATCCCATCACGTATTATACTTATATCTATTTTATTCTGAATGTTAATTATGTGTTTGATGTGTATTTGTATGCATATCTATTCATTGATGAATTATTTGTTGTGCTTTTTGCTTTGAGTTTGAAATTTAAGGTTTTAATGTTTTCAAAAGCTGAAATTGACAAGTTTAATTAGAATGACATAATTATTAAAACCTATATGGAAGTTTGATTAAAATTTGATTCACTTCAGAAAAATTAAGTCTGGACTAATTAAGTTGCAATTAGTTTACCCTTAATTAAGACCCTAAGCTAATCAACTTATATATATATATATATATATGTATATGTATTAAGTTAGAAGAAGTTAAGCACTTTGAACTCATCTTCATATCAAAAATCTGCTGGAGGAGAGCCTTTAGAGAGAGAGAGAGTGAGGTCATTTTAGAGAGAGAGGAGCTAGAACTTGGAAGATTTGGCTTGAAGGTTGAAGAATTGGGAAGAAGAACTCAAGTTCTTGCCAAATTAAGCTTAATTGAACACTTTAGGTATGGGTTTAACTTTTAATTCATGAATCAAAGCCAACAAGTATGTGAATTCAAGAAGATTATGAGTTTAGACACAAGAATTGAACTTAGGATGTTGATTTAAAGCTCAATTTCATGTTTTGAAAATTATGGGAGAAGAATTTGAGCTAAGTTCATACATGCATGAAGTTTTAAGCTTCAATTTTGTGAAATTATGAAGTTTTTGAGCTATAAGTTTAGAATTGGCTTTATACTCATGTTTTAGAAGTGTTTTCATGGTTTAATATGCATCATGCAAGACTTTACATTTGGAACTCAAAATTTGAAATTCAAAACCCTATTTTGAAAACCCAAAATTTGACCTTATCGCTTGAGCGTTGAAGTCATTGCTCGAGCGCACAATGAGAGCTTCTAGTATTTTTGCAGAGCATTGCATATGGCTTGAGTGACCAAGTGACTACTCGAGTGACCTCAGTTTATTTTGCACATTGGCTTGAGCGACCATCGAGCCTAGATTCAAACCATCCAATATATTTGTAGACCATGTGGTCCACTCGAGCGACCATTAGTGCGCTCAAGCGAAGTGTCATATTTCAGCACATTTTGAAAAGTTATATTCTGTTCATATCATCATTCGCACTCCTTTCTAAGCATTCTTATGCATGAATTAAGCCTCATGAATAAAATAATATGAAAGAACTAGACATAAGAGAATTGAATAAGTTAAGAATGATTCAATTAAATAATGAGCTTCAATGTGTGTACATGTTTATGTGATATGTAAGTTGATCCATGGAGACGTGACAATAACTTAAATCGCTGTGAGTAATATCTTAGTAAAAATATTTTATTATACTCTATTTTCTAATGTGACAAGCCTTTTTGAATTCATAATTTTGCTTATGAATGAGCCTAGTCCCAAAAAATGCACTTTCACAGTTATAAACATGGCCAAACAGCAAGTATAGGTATGGTAATAATAGCATGCAAGAATAGGGGTCAAA